TGCCTATGATGCTGATCGATAGCGTTTCATTATTGCCTTATGCTGGCTGCGCTCACCTGCTCTCTTCTCTTATAGCTCAATTATAAGCTCTGTGGGACAGGGACTGTCTTTGTGCAGCATCAAGCACAGCGGGGTCCTGGACCCATGACTGGGGCACTCCTAGGTGCTCCTGCAATACAAATAACTAATAAGTGTGGATGACAGACTGACACCCTTATAGAGATGGGGCCCGATTCATTGCACTGCCCCTTGGGCTGTCACTTACACTGGTGCAGGCTAGGTGTAAAAGTTTTAGACTCAGCTCAGTAGCTAACAGAGGATTCTCAACCTGGCTGAGGCCTCTCGGTGCTACCATAATAGAAATGTTGACTAATACTCTTGTTCTGAGCTGGTGGCATTTTACACTAGTCTCGATGACAACACAAAGTGCTGGGTAAGTGTGAATCAGCATGCGTTCAACTTAAACACACCGATCCTGGTCTTTGGTTACAAGCAGTTCATTCGTTAAGGCTCAGCTCCTCAGGCTGGTCCTGGTACCATCACATCTGAGTTCCGATTTCTCAGGGTTCGTTCAGCTGCAGCGTGACTGCAGGGTTTTCTGCTGGGGAGCCAGAGCGTGGCAATGCATTTCCTCGCTGCTCCGGTTAATGCTTGGAATAAATAGCCACATTCTGTAGATTTGGGAGAGTGTCCCCCAGCCAGCAAGTCAAAGGTCGTGTGCGCGCGTGCAACCGACACTTGTGAGGGAGGGGCAGCCATAGAAAACACGTGGGAGACCCACATCCTCTTCAGCAGATATCGGGAATAGTCTGATCAGTCTGACCAATTGTTTCCAGAACACACCACTTTCGGCAGCACAGGCAGGGTGGGCACTTTTAGACTTCAAATGTTGCTACCCCACTGTTAATATTTTCCACTGCTGATCACCAAACCCCACCCCTGCAGCTAGTTAGCATGCTTACCCAGGTTGGCAGGACAAGCCTGCCACAATCTAACAGCCCGCGCACTGCACTGCTGCAAGGTCTGAACAGACAACTAGTCAAACCTTCTTTGAACTGGGTCGATAGTTTAGGCAGTGGTTAGACTCTTGAGGTTAGGCTTATGTGACAGGTTGTATTTTTAGTGGGATCCAGCAGCTGAGAAGGCAGCTTACTTAAGAGGAAATTAATAAGTGTTTAATACACAAGCAAAGGTGTTTCATTTCCTGCTTTGTCACATTAGCTGTATCTTGACTTCCCTGTTTTTGGAAGCATGGATAGGATAATATCACAATGGATTGAAACATTGTCTTCCCTCATTTGAGAGGGAAGGAAATGTTTAGACCCATTCTTTAAAGCTATTGGTGGTTTTTATGGTTAAAAGCCTTTTAACTCAAACATGTAACAAACAGCTCGGAGAAAAGCTCTTTGTGAAAGAGTGAGTCATCTCCCGTTCACACTTCAGCCTACATCTCCAACCCTGCAAACACTTGATATGTAGCTTTACTCACATAAATCATCCCAGTGAAGTCAACAGGACTATTCCAACGAGTAGCATTTCCCATGTACTCTGTTGGATTGGGGGGCCTACATTATCCCCCACTAGCTCTCAAGAAACCATAGGTGCTGGAACTAGGGGTGCAGGGGTGCTGCAGCACCCCCTGGCTTCAAGTGGTATCCATTATATACAGGGTTTACAGTTTGGGTAAATGGCTCTCAGCACCCCCACTATACAAATTTTTCTAGCACTCCTGCCAGAAACCACAGATAAGTCCAGTCTCAGTGGCCTTTCCTTGCTTCTCACTCCAGATTTGTGCCAGCATAAGTAACTCCCCTGACACTCAGTTTACACTGGTGTAAGTGAGAGGAGAATCAAACCTGATTTTGCTATTCGGAAAAGTCTTTGAAGCCATAAACATGCAGCAGAAAGGGCAGAAGCAAGAACTGGTTTATCCCTTTGCAGTTCTCTTTTTAAAGAAGAGAATAATTATTTTTAAAATGGTCCTCTTTCTCATAATAAGGGCACAGGATACAAATGAGAGTTAAGCTGAGAAAGAAACATGAAAATCCCTGCTGATGTTCCCCTTCCCTCCCCCAAAGATTCCCAGAAGCCATGAGAATGACTTTCCAGTACTAGACCCATCACAACGCAGCGAATGAGAAAAGTCATGGGAACAACAACATATCCTTCTACAGCATGGCTTCTCCACTTGGGGGTCACAAACAGATGTCCAGGGAGCATAACCCCACTCCCCTATATCTGAGAGGGAGGGGATCCCAGCTAGATGGAAGAGGGTCCTGGTATGAAAGAAGTGTCTGTGGTATGAAACAGTTTGAGAGCCCTTCTGCTCCGAGGCCTGGAAAGTGTACTCCTCAAATAACTGGTTTTATCTAAGCAGCGAGAAGCAGCCCCAGGTGTCGGGATATGCCTATTAAATCGGGGTTACCTTTCCACCCTGTTTTTCCTGCCCTTGTCCCTTCCTGCCTGGTATGCTGCATTACAGGACTTTACGGCTTAGCCAGCAGGGAGTGCCAAACAAGCTAAACAAAGAGCACTAGCCCATGGACTTACCAAAAATCCCCCTCCTCCTCCTTCACGGGAGCCAAGCCACCTCCAGCACCCCTCAAACTGCTGGCATGAAGGACTAAGTCTCCAGACACCACCAAGAGGGTTCCGAACAACTCAGCCACCGGCCCGGTTAGTTTGGTTTGTAAGCGATCTCTAGCATCTCAGAATCTCTCTCTGATCCACACACTGGCGCTCTGTGCCCCGGACTCAGGAGCCATTACCTAGCTCTGCTCTAAAGAGGAATTGAATTGCTGCTAAAAACACTTTGCTGCCAAGACTAAAGACATTGAGGGTTTGGACAGCTTATTGGCAATACAGCCAAGTGTCTGACCTGAGCTTTGCAACCCAGCCAGCCTGGGGGAAGAGCATTCTGTACATGCACCTCAACCTAGATGTAACCGACAGTGCCCAATTCTTCCCTGCTCTGGCCAAAGGGAGCTATTCCAGTTATGCGGGCACTTTCATCAGCTTCAGAAGCTCACTGGTGCCTCTCTCCCACAGCCCTTCTTGGAGTGCTTCTTGGATGTAATAAAGGCTCATTATTTCAGAAGATCTCAATCAGGACAGATATTAAAACAGAAAATATCATAATACCACTATGTAAATCCATGCTACACCCACACCTTGAACAGTGTGTGCAGTTCTGGTTGCCCCATCTCACAAAAGATATATTAGAATTCGACAAAGTAAAGAGAAGGGCAACAAAAATTATCAGGGTGTGGAACAGCTTCCATGTGAGGAGAGATTTAAAAGACAGACTGTTCAGCTTAGAAAAAGAGACTATTAAGGGGGACATAGTCTATAAAATCGTGACTGTATGGAGAAAGCGAATAAGGAAGCATTATTTACCCCTTCACATAACACAAGGACCAGGGATCATCCAATGAAATTAATCAGCAGCAGGTTTAAAATTAATCAAAGGAAGTATTTCTTCACACAATGCAGTCAATCCATGGAACTTTTTGCCAGGGGATGTTGTGAAGGCCAAAACTACAACAACAGGGTTCAAAACAGAACTAAATACGTTTGGGGAGACGAGGTCCATCAATGGCTATTAGCCAGTATGCGCAGAGATGCAACTCTGAGTGTCCCTAAGCCTCTGACTGCCGGAGGCTGGGACTGGATGACAGAGGATGGCTCACTTGATGGCTACTTGTTCGGTTCATTCCCTCTGCGGGCTGGGGCACCTGGCACTGGCCACTGTCAGAAGACCGGATACTAGGCTAGATGGACCATTGGTCTGACCCAGCATGACCAGGAGTCTTGGCTAGAACGAACTCCACCCTAAGAGAAACCACACGGGGGGGGGGGGCTTCCCTTTGGCCTTACAAGGGGGTTGCTCCCACAAAGTTCGATCCGGGGGCGGCACCGGCAGCCCCGGAGAGCCTGGAGCAGGAACTTAGCTGCGCTCACCAGCCCCTGCCCGGCTGTGGAAGGGGGCGGGGATCCCACCCCCACCTGAGGGCGCAGGAGGGGCTCGGGGCCCCCCTTACCTCTACCGTAGGCGAAGTGCAGGCGCAGCGCCTTGCCCTGGCGCACCAGGCTGATGTGCAGGTAGGTGAACCACGCGGCCAAGGTGAGCAGCACCAGCAGCAGCAGCAGCTTGAACTGCTTGCGGATCTTCTTCACCGGGAACCACAGCATCCTGGAGGCCGCATTACCGGCCCGGGCCGGCCGCACGGCACCTCCGCCAGGCTCCGCACGGGACCATCCCCGCCGGGAGGAGCTAGACGCCAGGCGGGAGCAGCGCCCCGGGGCTGGGGCACGTGTCGGGCGGCGCAGGCGAGGGCAGGGCGGGCAGCGTCCCCGGGACCAGGCAGCAGCAGCCCCCCGAGCGGGGGTCCCGGCCGGCCAGCCCCGTCGCCCCCTTCCCCGGCCGAGCCCCCCGCCGGAGGGACAAAGGCATCCAGGCAGCCCCGCGCTCCCTCCCCAACCAGATCAACTCGGCGGCGGGAGGCTGAAGCCGGGCCGAGGACGAGGCCGCTCAGCCCGTGCCGCTCTGCCCCAGCCCGCACGGCAGCGCCATGGAGCAGGAGCGCTCACACGGCGCCCAGGCAGCGGCGGCGCCCTCCTCCCGCTCGGTGCATTGCGCGTCGCCCGCTCAGCGCTGAAGGGAGGCAGCCCGCAGCTCCCGCCTAGCGCCCCTGCGCCGCGCCCGTGGGGCTGCCGGGCCGGACACCAGCCCCCGCCGCGTGGATGCTTCAGCGGCACCGTAACCTCAGCCCGCCGCTAGCGGAGCAGCGGTAGCATCCGCGCTGCCACCGCTACCTACCCTGAACTGGGGCAAGTGGAGCGACAGCCGCCCCTGGCCCAATCGGAGCCCGGCGCTCCCCCGGACAGCCAATCATCCGCCTCCTGAGGCGGGGCCCAATCGAGGTTAGGCTGCGCGCGGCTTTTCATCTCCACGCCAACGTGCAAACATCCACCTGGTGAGTGGGACTGGCGGTTGTCCCCACTGCCCCGGCGGAGGGGTGGCCCGGGCAGAGCGTGCCCTTCCCGCCCCGGCGCGGCGCCCAGGCCGGGGCCAGGCGAGGGCGAAAGGGCCTCGAGCGGCTCCCCTGGTAGGGGAGCTCGCTGGGTTCGTGGGCGCCGCTGTGCTTTTGCAAACCAGACACCAGACGGAGCAGAGCGTCCCCCGCGGCACGGATGGTGCCTTCCCGACAGATGCAAGCTGATACTCCGCTGGGCTTTGCGAAGGCAGCAAGGATGCTCCAAGAGGAATAAGGCGGGTGGAGGAAGGAGGTCCCCTGTTACACTGGGGCCACAGGTAGAATTGCACAGCTCGGCTCCTGCAGCTCACATGTGACAGCAAAGCTGTCTGGGGCTAGCTGCGTCGTCCCAGGGACAGACACCAAATCCAGCATTCAGCCCACTCATCGCAACAGGCAGCGTCTTATTCACCTCCAGCTGTTGTGCCCTATGGTTCAGGCAGCCCCTCTCGGGGAAGGCAACAGGAGCTCAGCTGAGTGGGACTGGTGGTTTTTATTCTAACCAGACTTGCTGGGTGACCTGAGGCAAATCATGTAATCTCTATGGGTCTCACTTTCCCCATCCATACAATGGGGATATAACGCCTTCCCTACTAGGGTGAGATGAGGCTTAATTCATTAATGACTGCAAAGTGCTTTCCTCTGGTTAGAAAGTGCAGCATGGTATGATTATTATCTCGCTCTGCACTGTGGGGATTTAACAACTGTGCCATGCACGGAGTACATCCAGTGCTATAGCCCTAGACAGTCCAGTGGGAACGAAAACACGGCTTGGGTCCAGAATAAGCCAGGCTGCTTGCAGTAACCAGCCACATGCTTCTGTGGTGTGGGCGGAGAGCAGCTTACCTTCAGTGAGAGCGAGTCACGGTGACAGTTCTCCTTGTGGAAGGTACAGTCCTTCTGCCTCAAGGAAGCAGCTCACACTCCAGGCTCTTGTCTCCACACTAGATGCTTTCCCTCAAGATTTCCCACCCTAGTGTCTACCAGCAACCCTGCTCCAGTAGTAGCAACAGTGTGAAATGTTAGGAGAAAAAAATCTAGCACTAGAAACAGCCTTGAAATACGACAGGTACTCCTGTAACCAGCATCCTGGCCTGCAAGCAGCTTTCATAACCCTATAGCAGTCACACTGAACAAACCTCTTCCATTTAACCCTTTCCAAGCTGCCAAAACCCTGCCATGTCTCCTCTGACTTTCTCCACCTCTCTGCTGCCAGTTCCCCCACCCCCATCCTCTAACTGTCTCATCTTTGCCAAACTGGCAGCCCTAGTGACAAGCCACCCACCCAGAACCCTCTTGGGGTTACTCCAATAAATGCAGGCTGAAAGATTTCACAGACAGACTGATATGTTATAAGCAACTGGCAGTGGAGTTTAGAAGGAGAGCCCTGTCTGGGTCAAACAATAGCATTGCTGCCGTGAGGCTGTAATACACTGATGCAAAGATGAAAGGGAAAACAGCTTTTATTAATAACAAGGCTGGATTTGGAAGTGTAGCAGAACAGACTCCACCGGGGTTTCTCAGGTGACTGACTAGTGATTGAGGGGTGTTATTTTAAGCCCTGTGCCAAGGTGCAGCTTAGCCTGTTCAGGTTACATTGTTCAAATACTTTGAAATAAGAGGCTCTGTCTTCCTTCTGAGCATCATGACATTATTTCCACCAGCCTGGGTAATGGTTTCCCACACCTCGCTGGACAGCCTGTTATGTCTCCGGGCGTGGTTAACCCATGCAGCAGAGGAGTCTCTCTAGGAGCAGAGAGCCAGTGGAGAGGACAGTCCCCCACATCTCTCTGGACGGATCTGCCTATAGAATGCTGGTTTTAATGTGTCTCTCAGATTGGGCAGCCCACAGCATAGAGGCCCCAGTGGAATGGGGAACAGCAGATCCAAGTCTCACTGGGGCCTGGAGAACCACTGGGATTGGTTTTGCCTGAGTGACATCCTGGACCAGATCCTTATCTGGAGCAGGTAGGCACAGTTCACTGATGTCAGTGGATCTCCACCAATATAAACCAGCTGAGGATCTGGCTCATTATCTCCTCCCCTAATCAACTTTATATTTCTGCTAAAGAAAACCTGGTCACCTCAGGCCTGTGTGTGTGTTTGCAACCAGGGTAGAGCATCCTCTGGTCCACGGCAGGCATCACTTCTTCAGCAAACCTGGGTGCTGGCTCAGAGTGGAAGGGGTTTAGTGCTTCTTAGCAAAGCAGGGCTGGCTTCCATCATCGGCGGCAGGAAGCATTGTCCTGGGTGGGGGAGCAGGGAATTCCTGACAGGCCTGGGGTATCTTCAGCATGAAGCCAAGCTTTAGTTAAAACCTTCTCTGAGGAGTAATGAGAATTCAATAAGCCTCCTCGTTATTTTAGACAGAGAAACTGGGCCATGCTGGAGGCCACGCAGCTGGGCTGGAACCTGCTCAAGGTCTCCTTTGTTGCTGTGCCAGCGATTTCAGGGGCCAGGCCCACTTCTCTTCATTCTCCTATTCCAGGGTTTTGTTTCCTCTTTCAAATTAATTGAGCATCAGTGAGAGGTGGCAGCCTGAGGGCCTTGGAGAAGGTCATTCTCTCTGATTACTCCGAGCTGTAGAATCTTCCTACACATACCCCACACTGGAGCCCTGCACCCCAGAAAGGAGAGGGGTGTCCAGCCTCACAGGCTTTCCATCTCTGGCATCTCTCCTCAGGATGCCAGCAAGTGTGTAGCCTTTGTGACGGGGATACCTGTCCCCTAGAAGCTGGACTGAGAACATCAGGGCCATTTCAACAGGCTCTTAGTAATAGATGCAAAGGTAGTTGGCTAGAAGTGGGGGGCTCTCTCTCCTACTCCAGGCCTCTGAGCCAGCCAGCCTCCCTTCTGTTTGCAACCCTCAGGTACCCTAACCACCATGCTATGCACTCGTTTGTGCATTCTCACTGGCCCAGTGACTAAGTCTGATACACAGGGGAATAGCTTTCACAGGGGAGACTGAGGGAGACCACATCAGAATATCCCATAACTCAGTGGTTAGCACATGCTCCTGAGAGACAGGGGATCCTGTTCAAATCCTCTCTTTGGCGGGGTGTGGGGTGGGGTTTGTGGATTGAACCTGGCTCCCCCACATCCCAGGAGAGTGCTCTAACCAGGGGGAGTATGAGTTATAAGGTTGTCACCACCTCCTTCAGCACAGATTTAGAATGGGGTTCAGGCCAGTCGGTGGCCTCTGAATTGGGCCCTGCATGCAAGTTAGGGAGATGAGTATCTATCTTCTCCCAGTTCATGGGTCACACTGGGGCTTAGGCAGGAGACAGGCACCCAGACACCAAGAGGGAGGCAGCAGCGCACATGCCCAGAGGCAGAAACTCAGGCACCTAGAGAATGTTTTCCCTGGAAACTTAGGTGCTGAGTGAGTTTAGGCATCTACAAAGTTTGCTGGGAGTTTTGTGGATCTCAGTGGAGCCTAAAATTGGGACTTGGGCACCTAAGTATGTTTACGAAGCCCACCATTGTTCCTTTGACAGCCATCGGACGGTGTTAGCTGGCTCCCTGGCTCCCTGAGAACCCCCATGGCACAAGCCAGCTCCAGCCTCTTGCACAGAGAGGGCATAGTGAGGACTCGGCTGGCCTCCTCTACCCATCTTGGAGCTGCTCACCGTCTATTTTCTTCTTTCAGCAGAGATGCCACAATTGCACGATAGGCTGATCACAAGTGAACAAACCAGGTGCCTGCTAAAGGCAAGCGTCACAGGACAGAGGGTTAGGAGAGCGTGATCCTGTCAGGGGGACTGCAGCATGAGTTCACATCTACACTGCCCCCCCATCTGAGCGGGATCCCAGGCGCTTCACTATCTGTACAGACCACCGAGATCTCTTTGCCCACCCACCATTGAAAGGAAGCCATCCTTGGGCTGGGAATAGCAATGTTTGACAAACCCAGCAATGCTACCCTACAGAAGCAGAATACTTCAGCTGGTTCAAATGGCAGGGGGGATTTGATGGAACCAGAGTGGAAGTACCCAGAGGCAGAACTTGACCAAGACAAAGAGACCCGGCTTTTGTAACAAGTTTCATGGGATTTTCAGTGGCATCTGAGTGACAGCCCCTGTAACACTGCAATGGGAAGAGTGCCACCTACTGACTCACCAATACATCCAAGTGCTGACCTGAACCAACTCTTCTTAGCTTGCAAGATCACACAGGGCGAGGTTGGCAGAGTTTCAGGATAAAATCAATGCACGCCTCAAAAATGGGAGGACTTGTGAGGTTCGGCATTTAAGTGGCAAGCCAATTAGAGGGTATTTTGGGGACCCTCCATGTAGTGTGATTTACATCAGTTGTTTCACCCTCTGTGTTCCCGATTGTCAGTGGTACGCTGCTCCCTAGTGGGGAATTGATTCCGAGAGCTGCAGCGTGGCAGGTAATGGGCAGTCGGGCATGCAGAGCTGAGGTGACAATACTAATCATGATTAATAACTGCACTTGGGAAGCACCGCGCACACACGGCACAGGCACCGCACAGTTAAACCACAACAACAAACAAGCAACAGCAACAATTAAAACGGCATAAAAAGGGCCGTATAAAAATCAAAAAACTGATAAAAGGAAATGGTGTAAGGCACACTATTGATCGTGGTGCGTTTAAAGATCTATGTGTCAGTGCTTGTGGAGAGAGAGCTGGGACACAGTGGTGATTTGCCACGTGTTAACCCCGAGTTACCCACTTGGTGTGAACATTTCATTGGCAGGTGGGCATGGCCAGGACTAGGCAGAGGTACTCGGCACAGCTCCGACCTGAGGCAGGCAGGAGAGCAAAAGGCGCCCTGAGATGATGTGCGGGTGATTACAGAGGAAGGGTCTGTGAACCTGCTCCAGGGGCCTTTGCAATCACTGATGTCGGGGGTATCAAGGGCACTCAGCACTGTCCCATCTCACAGGATCAGCCCCCAAAGCAGGCTCAGGAGTCCTGGGCATGGGTGATGTCAGGGCTGGATTTTCTGAGTCAGCTACAGCTTCCCCTTTTCACTGCTTCACATTCAGAAAGCTCCTTGGACCCGGCTGGGACCATGCATCTTACCATTGCCCAGCCCCCATCTGTCCCTCTGATACTGTGGGCTTCCCTGCCCAGAGTTCTTAGTCACGCCCGTGGCAGCATTAGCTGGACACTGTCCAGGACAACTAACAACCGTGGAGCACTGCTCTCCCTGGTCAGGTGCAATGGATCTAAACGAGCACTTACCAGGGTCTGGAGAGCATCCCATTGCAGGGAGGCAGAGCTGTGTTGTGCTGGTCCCTGGGTTCTTTCTTCGCCACAGTGAATTGCTAGATGATTTGAGCTAGAAAACGCAGACACTTCTCTCCTTCCAGAGCATCTCCGCAGCATTTCAGCTTCTCGGCCTCTCCTGAGTGCAGGCCAGGGACGCAAGGTGCAAATGCGTCTGGATGTCCCATTTGCCCCTCCAGGCTGCTGGGCTACCTAGAGACTGGTTTGACTCTGAGTGGAAGCTGATGCAGCCCCAGAGGTGGTTCTAATTTATGTCCAGTCAGCAACCCCATGCACTCCCTCTCATAACATGCCCCCGCCTGCCCCTATGCCAGCAGCTCCGAGGGGCTGGTACAGGCTGCCCTGGGGAGTGAGGAGATCCAGTCCTTTTATGCTACAGGACTGACATAAAGGGCCACAGTGCAGCCCAGTATTGAGGCTCTTGGGTTTGGTCTGTTCCTCTTAAGTCTCTTTCGCCCCAAGCTTTAACTCTCTTGCTCTCTGGTCCTCTTCCCCTTACTCTGTGCCTCCCAGCTGTCTCTGATTCTGAGCTGTTGTCTGCCCACTGGCTGTGGGAGGAGCACAAAGACAGGTAGGGTATGTCTACACTGCAATTATATACCCCCGTGCCAGCTGACTCGGGCTCAGGGGCAGTTTAACTGCGGTGTAAATGTTCAAGCTGGGGTTGGAGCCTGGGATGGTCAGCAAGGCCTCCATCTCTGTGGCACGGCTGCCAGCAATGCCTGGGAGGGTCAAGAAGGGTCACACGCCCCTCCCCAGATGCCTGGGGGGGGGCCACATTCAGCAGGGAACTGCAGCGGCGAAAGGAGCAGAAAGTGGGGTCACTCCTTTGGCACGGCTGTACTGTCCGCAGCCCTGCCCCCCAGGCCTTCTATGCAGCTGCGTCTCATGGGGTCTGTACAGCCCCGCCGCAAGACAGGGCTGGGGGCAATACCGGTACAGCCATGCTGGAGGAGCTCCTGGCGTGGAGCTGTCCTCCTTTCGCCTGAAATCGGTATCCAGCGCAGCGGGAGGACAGAGCCTCCTCTCCCCTGGTAACGTGGGACAGGGAGAGTGTGGGGGCCTGGGCTTAGGGTGACCAGACAGCAAGTGTGAAAAATCGGGACGGGGGGTGGGGGTAATAGGAGCCTATATAAGAAAAAGACCCAAAAATGGGGACTGTCCCTATAAAATCGGGACATCTGGTCACCCTACCCGGGCTGGGGGCGGAGCGGGGAGGAGTCACATGAGGAGGTCACGTGTCCCCCTTTAGCTGGTGCCCCCCTTTGTGTCCCTCCAATGAGTCACCCATTTGGACCTGACATTAATGCAGAGTGTGACCAATATACCTGGAATTCAAGGGAGGAGAACACCCCAGCCTAAGCCACTTTCTCAGCTGATCCAGCTAACGAGTAATTAGGCTTCACCTCAACAATTGTTGGGTCTTTCTAGGAACTTCGGCGCTTTTCCTAGCAGCTTCTCTCTTGATTTCGGAGGTGGAAAATCAGGAGCTGGCCAAAGTCAAGTGTCTGAGTAGATTCTTAGCTTTTTCTGTAACAAAAGCCTTGCCTAGTTTATTTGTCTTACTGCTCATCTATCTGCATTGGGAGCTAGAGTGGGGCTGAGACCCCAGTGGCCTGGCGAAAGCTATGCTTGCATGGAGGAAAGATACCCCTGCAGGGAAAGCAAAGGCTGAGAGGCAGAAGCAAAGGTTCTAGTCCTGGTTTGGCCGGAACCTTACGAGGCTGATATTGAGCTAGTGGCTTAAGCTTAAGCCAACATGTCAGGCTCAGTCCAGGTGGGCCCTGGCTTTTCAGAAGTGCTGAGGCCCAGATCCACAAAGGTATTTAGGTTCCTATCTGCCATTGCAATCCAAAGGCGTTAGCTGCCTCAATACCTGAGATCCATGCCTGAGCACCCACAGCTCCCATTGAAATCTGTGGTGATGAGCACCATAGAAATGCCTATCAGTAAAGTGTCACCTGGCTACAGCATTCTCCTCCACTCCTGGCCCCTGAGGATGGCTTCTGCCTGCCACGCCCGGGAAGGCTGCATTTCAGGGCGGATGAACTGATCCCGGAGGACCTCATCTGTCATTATGTTGTCATGTGCTGCGGGCTTTGGCTGAAGGATGTTGGACAAGTGTCAGTCGTCGTGGTTATTACTGTTATTACTCATTTGGGTGAAGTGGCCCTGTGCAGTCTCAGGCTCTTGGCATCCTGTAATCAACAGCATCTGCTTGGAGCTCACAGCCAGAGCCTCAGCCTGTTGGATGCTTTCCTTCCTTGATTTCAGTTCTAGCTCCAGACAGGCACCTGCGAGGCAATCAGTACACAAACCCAGCATCACATGGAGCCAGCCCCGCTCCTTCATCCCCAACCCCCCATCAATGCAGAGAAAGGAACAAAAAACAAAGGGGCAGCACAGAGAAAAACAGAAAAAATAGGGGGAAAATTGAGAGGCCAAATCCAGCTTTGATCTACACCCAGTAAAATCACACTGACAATAATAGTGTAGCACTATTGAGAGCTACCAGCTGACACTATTGCAGATAGCGTTACACGTTGGGTGTGAGAAGTTAGTTCAAGGAGAAATGCTTATTGTCAACTGTGGTGCAGTTCTCTTTAGATACTGATCATGTTGCCAGTAAAGTTAGTTCTGCCATGGTCTCTCTCTCTGAGTGAATCACTTCTTAGGGGCACAGGCTATAAGCTATATCCAGGCAAGCAAAACAAAATATGACAAACATCTGCTCAATGGGCAGGGGCAGTCAAAAAAGCTAACAGAGTGTTAGGGACCATTAGGAAAGGGATAGATAACAAGACAGAAAACATCACAATGCTGCTAAACCCATGCTACACCCACAGCTTGAATACTGCATGAAGCTCAGGTCGCTCTAGCTCAAAAAAGATCTATTAGAATTGGAAAAGGTAGCACCCTCCCATAGACCTAGCGCTGTCTATGCTGCGGGGGTTAGGTCAGTAGAACAGTGTCACTCAGGGGGGTAGCTTTTTCACACCTCTGAACAATGTAGTTGTACCGATATAAGTTTATAGTGTAGGCCTGGCCCAAGATTGTTCAGTTTAGAAAAAACAACAACGAAGGAGGGATATGCTAGAGGTCTATAAAATCATGACTAGTATGGAGAATGTGAATAAGGAAGTGTTATTTACTCCTTCATGTAACATAAGAACCAGGGGTCACCCAATGAAATGAATAGGCAGCAGGTTTAAAACAAACAAAAGGAAGTATTTCTTCATACAACACACAGTCAACCCATGGAACTCATTGCCAGGGGATGTTGTGAAGGCCAAAACTTCAACTGGGTTCAAAAGAGAGTTGGACCTATCCTCCATGAACTTATCTGTCAGTGGCTATTTGCCAAGATGGTCAGATGCAACCACAGGTGCCAACTCCGTGGGTGCTCCAGGGCTGGAGCACCCACAGAAAAAAATTAGTGGGTGCTTAGCACCGGCAGCCAGCTCTCCTCCTCCCCCCACTGTCCTCCAGCAGCCCCACCAGACTACTCCTCTCCCTCCCTCCCAGCAACTCCCACCTGCTGCAGATCAGTTGTTCAGCGGCATGCAGGAGGCGCTGAGAGGGAGGGGGAGGAGCAGGGATGGCGCGCTTGGAGGAGAGGGCGGGAAGAGGCAGGGCAGAGGGTGGCCTTGGGGGAAGGGGTGGAGCGAGGACGGGAAGTGGCGGGGTGGGGGCTTAGGGGAAGGTGTGGAGTGGGGGCAGGGCCTGGGGCAGAGGGAGGGTCGAGCTCCCCCCTCTCCCCCGTAGAAAGGAATTCAGCACCTATGGACGCAGCCCCATGCTGCAGGTGTCTCTAAACCTCTGACTGCCAGTGCCAGACGCTGGGCCTGGCAGACGGGATGGATCACTCAGTGATTGCCCTGTTCTGTTCACTCCTGCTGAAGCATCTGAGAGCGGGCACTGCTGGGCCCTGGAACTGTGTTCTTTGGTCAGCGTTACACACAGTGGGGAGTAGTGAACAGGAGGGTTCTGGGGGCAACTTGTCTTTGATCTCTTGTGGTTGTGGCTGTGGCTGCTGCAGTGGGTTGGAGTAGGCACCTTCCAGGTGTCCATGGTCTAAGGCTGGCTCCAGGGAGAGGAACTGGCTCTTCCGTTCCACCCCCTCTGTAGTCAAGGGGGATTCTCTGGGGAGCAGCTTTCAAAAGGACATAGGGAACCTCCCCTTACTTTTAGCCTCTTCCCAGCTGGATTACGGGATCCATCACTCGGCTGCTGAGTGTTGGCGCCACCTGCTGGGAAGTTCGGGTAATAATCCATGTTTGCAAATTTGCCCCTTCATCATCTGTTTCATGATACAGGCCAGGATAAATCCTAACAGTGCTGGTGCCATATTTGAAGAGCTGGGTAGGGATCACTGTGGCTCTCTTCACTGTTGCAAATCCCATGCAGGTATCTATCCCATTTACAAATGGGAAGCCCTCTCACATATGGATGAGCCCACAGAGATTCAGAAGCTGAAGAGAGGAAGGACTGATGTCCATCATTATCGGTACCCAGGAGTAGCAAAAACTTGATCAGGAAGATTATGCCCATCTGATCCTTAAAGACTGAACACACTGGTTAGTTTTTCAGGTCAGTGGTTACATCTTCTGCAGGCTGCAAAGTAAAAGAATGTCTAAAATCGAATGTTCTTTTCATTGTTGATTCCCTTTTTGTGCGTCACTCAGCCTGAGCAGGGAACACAGACTAATCAGTTTCACTTTTGCTTAGTCAGTATCTAGTCTGTTTCATGCTGGGGTTCTGGCACAAAGCTGCAGTGTTGGGGCTGCAAACACCCAAGGCAAATGTTTAAAAATCTAAACGAAAGAAATGAAGTGCTGTGCACTTAGAACACATTTCTGTTGCTGGTAGATTCATGCAATCTATCCAGCCACCGTGTCTCAGTCCTGTATGGAAATTAAAGCCAGTGAAAGCAGCATTAGGGAGCAGCTGATTTTCCATCCCACTGTGGGTGTATTTAGGTCCTTAACCTGAGCATGGTATTAGTCAGTCCCCTGCCCTGTGTTCAGTTTAGTAATGGCTGTTACCTTGAGCAAACCATCCCATTCTCCTTGGCTCTGGGGCTTTGAGGATGGCGATAGTGAAGGGATACAGGGTTTTTAACCAATCATACATTTGGGGCCTGATCTCCCAGGCCACGTCTGGTAAATGACAAACTGCAAGCACTTTTGTTCACACTGGGTGAAATTCTCCCCTGTGCAGAGACTCAGCACATGGCCCATGCACCACTCAAGTCCCACTTGAGCCCTTTCTGCACAGGGGAGAGTTTCACCCATTTCCGTTGTGTAAAATCCTCCTCTGTAAAATCTAAATGCTGGCCTTAAAACAAGGCCCTGGAATGTGCCGTATGTGTAATAACCCTCCAAAGCTCCGAGCAGGGCCACTTTTGGGGGGGAAGCAAGGGATAGAATTTCTACTGTCATTAAAACACATTGGACTGCAGAGCTGCATGGGGAGGCCGAGGGGGAAATGATCTGTATTTTGCTGAAAGCTGGGGATGCTCACTTTGAATTAGGATTCCTGGCGTGTGTGCTTTCTGGGGTGCACAGGGGGGTGTATGCTTCTCCTGCTGCACAGGAATAACTCTGTGATGCTCCCCGAGGGTCCCCGGTGTTGAGGGGCATCTCACTACCACCTTGTCTGTGCCTGCCAGGGATCAGCTCCCTGACTCCAGCAGCCCCGAGCAATACAAGCCCTCCCCTCCCAGCTTATCGGGCTCCACTGTCCCTCTGCAGGTTAGAGATACGCATGTCCCAACCCTCGAGCCCTCTGAGCATCACCTGGAGTGTCCAGCCCCTGGTCCACTGGACATTCTCAGGAGTCACACATCCACTATTCCCAAAAGACCAGTGCTTCCCAACGACACCTGAGAACACACAGCACTTGGGTGTGCTTAGAGTGAACAATTGGTTACACTGTAAAACCATCATACGCCTTCCAGAGCCTAGACTTGCCTAACAATACATTCTCCTGTCTCATAAAGTTGAGCTCACCTACCTCTTTCTCCCAGCACTTCACAACTTTGCTGGCTGTGACCATCCATTCACAGGACAAGCCAGCTGGCAGCGCGTCTTCTAGGTGGGTGACTCCTTGCAGTCTCCTGATATACCAGACTACTTCTTTGCTCACAAACAGGAGACTCTCCTGCTGTGGGCTGTCATTGAAAGGTGATACAGGGCCAGAAAGTGTTAATTAACTCACAAACTGACATGACCCATGGCCGAACTTTAAAGACATGTTAGGAAGATATGTACATGAACAGAGCTTTGAAATGCAAAGCTGCATTGTTAGAGATAGAAGGGTAGACGTTTGCTCAGGTCTTGTGATGTAAGCAAACAAGTCTTGTCTATTACTATGATTTTAATTCAAAGATAAAAAAAAGAAGTATTAATAATAATTTGCATATTATTTCACTCAAAGCAGTAGGCATCACAATCATTACAAAATGTATGTAAGGATATATGAAGCAAATACTCACCAGCAACCACACACCACACAACAAAAACACTAACCCAGGAACCTATCCTTGCAACAAAGCCCATTGCCAACTCTGTCCACATATCTGTTCAGGGGACACCATCATAGGACCTAATCACATCAGCCACACCATCAGAGGCTCGTTCACCTGCACATCTACCAATGTCATATATGCCATCATGTGCCAGCAATGCCCCTCTGCCATGTACATTGGCCAAACCGGACAGTCTCTACGCAAAAGAATAAATGGACACAAATCTGACATCAGGAATTATAACATTCAAAAACCAGTTGGAGAACACTTCAACCTCCCTGGTCACACAACTACAGACCTAAAAGTCACAATTATTCAACAAAAAAACTGCAAAAACAGACTCCAATGAGAAACTGCAAACCAGAATTAATTTGCAAACTGGATACCATTAAATTAGGCTTGAATAAAGACTGGGAGTGGATGGGTCGTTACACAAACTAAAAACTATTTCCCCATGTTAATTTCCCCCCTACTGTTACTCACACCTTCTTGTCAACTGTTTGAAATGGGCCATCTTGATTATCACTACAAAAGTTTTTTTTTCCTGCTGATAATAGCCCACCTTAATCAATTAGTCTCATTAGAGTTGGTATGGCAACACCCATTTTTTCATGTTCTCTGTGTATATATATTTCCCTACTGTATTTTGTACTGCATGCATCCCACGAAAGCTTATGCTCAAATAAATTTGTTAGTCTCTAAGGTGCCACAAGTACTCCTGTTCTTTTTGCTAATATTTAGGAAGACACTTGAGTGAAATATCCTATATGTCTCTTTGAAGGTTGTGGTAACCTGTATCTGAACTGTTTAATGGATAAATTACCCTGTGCTAATTGCCATAATGTTTAGGAGAAGGAAAGTTAAGCTTATTGTTTTCAGCTCACCTACATCTTTCTCCCCGCACTTCACAACCTTGCTGACAGTGACCTTCCATTCATAAGACAAGCCAGCTGGCAGCGAGTCTTCTTGGTGAAGGATACTGTGTGATTCCTTGCAATCTCCTGATATACCGGACTACTTCTTTGCTCTTAGTCACAAACAGGAGACTGTCCTGCTGTGGGCTCCTTCCTGGAGATTTTGTGATCTTTGTCATTGGCTGGTGGCTCCATAGGCAAACAGACTACATTGTAAGACACACACCTACTCTCTGCCTGGCCAGAACCTGGGTATCGCCTT